ACAGAAAAGAAGAAAGTTGGCGCCATTAAAGGGATTGAGTTTTAGCTGTCCGTAGACCCAAAAAATGGTGGGTTTAGGGTACGGAAAGTGGTGAATTCACAGAAATAAGGTATACTATCATAACTTTGAGTCACTTGTCCGTGTTCCAATATGTGGAAGAATCTGTAAAAAGATATTTCAACACGATTTTCAGAGGAAATCGTGAGCACAAGAAAACCACCATAACACCAAAAATCTTTTTTTTTGCCCAGACCTGGCCCAGGAGGAAAGAGTAACTGACAGGGACAAGCATGACGATGATGATAAACGGCCTGCAGGTACGACCCCGCACCCCCTAGAAGTTGGCGTCAATACGACCGCTTTCCTATGTGTAAATAAAGAAGAGAATAAAACAGTTAGCTCTTCAGAGGGACGTAGTGCAGCTTCTTCTCTTTCAGCTGTGGGATGAGCGCGCGCTATTTCACTTGTTAATGACCTGGAACTTTCAACAGGTGTAACTTTCTTCAGAAACCTACATGCTGGGCGACAAGTGTGATTGGAATTTCTCGAAAGCTTCCGGCTGGCAAGTACTGAAATTGCCTCGAAGGGGTCTCACAGCTCCGCATAGGAACTGACGATGAAAATTTCTAGAGCACGCGGGTTCCCAACTTTAAGGGACCACAACTCCGACAACACATGACCGGGGACAAAACAAAAACATCTGCCGAGAGGATTGCCTCTTTCTAATGAGCACATCTATGAAAGTCCATTATGCGAGGACTTTCCCATTTCACGATAAAAATTTTATGAAAGCGAGTTTTTAGCTTTTCAGAGGTTAAACTTCGATAATGCAGCTCCGAGGGAAAAAAAACCAGCGCTTAGAAGAAGAGAATTTTCGCATCAGAATTATTAGGAAATCTTCACGAAAGTGGACAAAAGTAGAAAGCTATCGACTGCGCGCAATTTGCCGAACTTTAAAGGGACACACTTCCTTCCAATATATGCAAGAAGTGAACTGATGGCAACTGTAAGATCCGCTACTTTGTTTAATTTCATTAAACTCATATCACAATCAAACTAAAGCAACTTCGAATAAAGTTAAAATTCAATTTCCGTGCTGCAACTTCACCTCCTAAGCTTTTCAGTTTTTTTTTGTGTGTTTCGAGCTCACCCTGTCACGGCATTGTTGACTACAAATACGACCACCTCTCTCTTTCCGGCGGGTCGAATACGACCCCTACGTTGGGGATTCCCCAGCAGATGCTTGACCCCGGTAACGCTAATCCAACCAGGAAAGGTCAACAGGTCGGCCTGGCCATTTGCAATGAGATGCACATCACTGTACTCATCTTTACACGCTGAACTCAGAACTGCCTTCAGAATTTGCAGAACGATTCTCTGAGCGGAGTTATTGAGTTTTTCTTTACTGCTTTTCTTCTTACGGGCGCGCTGGCACAGAAGCGTTGGCACCTGTAGTGCGACTCGCATCTTCGTGCAAAATAGGTGTCATAATAGTGTTCAGGGGGTCAAATAACCGGAACGTCACCTTAGCAAAATCTGAGCTTCTGACTCAACGTCGTAAAAATGGGGTATGGATAGTCATGGCTAATGATAGCTAACGATACTATGACTAGCATACTGGTGATGACGAACTGAAATAACTCTTCAGTCATGACTTTTTGCAAACAACAGTACCTGGCTTACTTGTTTGTGCCGTCTGCATGATTTCCTTCACTATCGGGAGGAAATCCCATTCCGAGACCAGTCATCGATGGTAGGTGAGCTCCAATCTGCTGCTAATTTACCCATGGAATAGCCCACACTTTCCGAATGAGGTCGAAAAATCAGATTCGGCCACAAACTTGTCCCCAGGGGTAAGTCGACCCGCTGGACATGAATATGATGATAAACCCTTGTGACATGTGTTACGAGGGTACAAACAGAAGCACTCTTTCAGGCCGCAATGGGTCTACACTTTTGAAGAAAACTGATTGCAGGTTCCCTTGTAGGGTAGTGCAGGCGAGCAGAGATGTTAGAAGCTTTGTCGGCTGTGTTCTTGGACAAATGCAAAAAAGGAACCTGCCCCAGAACCGATCTTACGACGTCCCACCTAAGAAACCCGTTCCCTATCCGTTGCGCTCTGCTGCCACGTTTCAGAACGATTCCATACGTAAATGTAAAGCCGCTTCAACGTTTCCCCGCGACAGCACGTGAAACGACCATGCGGGGATAAAACCCCTCATAACTCCGTTCAGAGAATTGTTCTGCAAATTTTGAAGACAGTTCTGTGTTCACCTTCCCAAGACGCGTACAATGGTGTGCAGCTCATTGGAAATGGCCGGGCTGACCTGTTGACCTTTCCTGTTAAGTCATGATTTTCTAGCGCTAATTCTTCGTGCCGACTACAATTTTATGACATTTTTGAGACTTTTGAGGTTAACAGACCGTCATTTGTAACAAAAGGTTGTCTCTACTGTCACATCCCCAAGCAAGATAAGTGTAAGAGCACACAAGAGCACAAGAGTCGCACTGCTCGAGATTCTAGCACCGCACAAAGAAGGAAGATGCCCTACGACGCGGGACGATCCGGCTGTTCCAGAGAAAAAAAATTCAAGGGGAATACATACGACTGGTCCTCATTTGAAGAAGTCATGGGAAACACCCAAATCACATAGGAAGAGGATCGCCCTACGGCCACGGTAGCACTGCCGAGGCATCGATCAGCAGCGCTTAAGAGCCAGAACTCAAACTTTGACCACCCAGATCTCATCTGGGAGACCCCGTAGCACTTTTAATCTGCATATTCGTAATCAGCATTCGAGGCTATCGATGAAGCTAGGTCTCCATTCGAAGTTCCATGGGAAGTTCAAATCATTCGCTTGTGACAACCAGTCGGATCGCGTATTCCCTTGACTTTTCTAACTGGCTGACAGTCGGATCGCGTGTTCTCCTTGACTTTTTTATCTGAGGGACAGTCGGATCGCCCGGCGTCGTAGGCAATATTTCCCCTGCATGATATGTGGGTGTTCTCCATGACTTTTCCAAATGAGGACCAGTCGGATCGCGTGTTCTCCTTGACTTTTTTATCTGAGGGACAGCCGGATCGCCCCGCGTCGTAGGCAATATTTCTCCTGCGTGATATGTGGTTGTACTCCATGACTTCTTCAACTGAGGACCAGTCATATCGCCTATTCCCCTTGACTTTTTCGAATGAGAGACGGTCGGATCGCCCTGCGCTATAGGGCGATCCTCCTCTTTGTGTGGTGTGTGTGTTGTGTGTTCCCCGCGACTTCTTCAACTGATCGACGGTCGGATCGCTCATTCCTCTTGTCTTTTTCATATGTGAGACAGTCGATCGCCCCGCATCGTAGGCAATACTTCTCCTGCGTGATATGTGGTTGTACTCCATGACTTCTTCAACTGAGGACCTCATATCGCCTATTCCTCTTGTCTTTTTCATATGTGAGACAGTCGGATCGCCCAGCATCGTAGGCAATATTTCTCCTGCGTGATGTGTGGGTGTTCTCCATGACTTTTTCAACTGAGGACCGGTCGGATCATATATTCTCCTTGAATTTTCGAATGAGGAACAGCCGGATCTCCGGCGTGTTAGAGCGATAAGAAGGAATGCCAGTCTCGCGTGCAAGCTCGATAAGGGTCCAGTCACTGTAACTACACAACGCTGGACCTAATCGACCCTTGAACTAATCCATTCGCTTCTCTTGGGCAGGATGAACGCCATGGGGCCCTCGACCACAACGTTTTTTCCTTCTTCCTTCTTCGGATTTCTTAACCTAACCCTCCACTTTCCATTTCAATAGCATGACGTGCAACTACTGGTCCGGTACAGTATAAATTCGAGCAGCCCGCTTTCCTTGTAAGATGCGAGGGTCCAACACTGATTTTGACCATCCAGGTTTCGTTTCAGTTTCTCGAGTTTTTCTTCTGTGGCGATGCCGACCAGGACACTATTTACCCTTTACTGCCCAAACCATATGAATTCAGGCCGGTTTTTGACCAGCCCTTTTCTTCTGGCTGAAAACTTTTCAAACGAGTATCAAATCCATTGAGTTCAAAACTTCTGGCACCCGCGCCAAAATGCTCGATATCATCGAAATCGCTGAAAACTCAATTAGTGCCGTAGTTTGACCTCCTGAAGTTTGACCCGCCACGCGCCGCCAAAATACCCCAAGTCACCAAATATGATGAAAACTTGTTTCCCGGAGTAGCTTGACCTCCTGAACAACAATACCATCGCATGGTCCGAAAGGTCCCAGCGCCCGCGCCAGAACATCTTAGGTCTTTAACATTGCTAGAAACAAGTTTTTGAGGGTAGTTTGGCCTCCCGACCACGAGTAGCACATCTGCATGGGGCGCTTAGAATGTTAAAGATGGAGTGGAGGGAGCACCGTGAGAGCGCAGCCTGTTTCTGCTCGTCCACATCCTTCCGCCGAGATAGTAATCCCTTCCTCTGCTAAGGCTGAGTCATAGTAAAGGGAAGGATCACTACCACAGGCAATCAGGAAGAGTGCTGCCTTTCTCCATAGTTTGCCTGACTGCTCTAGCACACAGCTTAGCATGAAAGCGATTGAAGTCGCTACGCGCGCCTGAGTCGAAACAGGCATGTGATGGGTCGCTTGTGATGTATGTGTCAAGTAGTTTCAGACTGAACGTATGATACTCGGGTTCAGGAACTCAAACTACTCCAGTTTAGAAGTTCTCAGCGATTTTGGAAATTTCGAGTATTTTCGACGGCGGCGCCTGTGGCGCGGATGAAAGGGGGTCGAACACTACCCCAGGAGACAACTTTTGAGCCAAGTCTCTCCACGGAGGAAAAAATCGGTCAAAAACTAGCTTGAATGCGGATGATTGGGACGGGTAAATAGTGCCCGACCACGTTTTGCACATATGTAGCCGAAGGTACCGGCTTTCAAAGAGGCAAAGAGCCTCGGTCGTACCTCCTCTGTTTTCCCGGTAATACTCCATATAGCTCCATGTTCTTGAATAAGATGACCTCTATATCACTTTCGCAGTTTCGCCTCCTGAACAAGAACTAACCATATTTTGTTGCGTTAACGTTCGAGTGAAAGCATCTCGATTGACACTGATCTTCACAATAGAGAGATACTGATTGCTGTCTACATTTGGTGGAATGATATAATGCCTAAAATTATTTTGTTACGCAAATGCTTATTGTCTTGCTTTTGTTTGGAAGTAAAAAATAAACGAAAGCGCAGAAAATAACGAACACGAGGTTGCAATCATCGACGAATAATTCGTAAACCTTGGCGTCATAGCTCTGACAACACGATTCCACGTGGAGATGATCATTCACCGCGAAATGTAAACCGATATAAGCACGAATAGCGAAATCAGCCAGTTTCTCATCGAAGAAGAACTCGTGGATGACTTTGTGCACCCATGGGCTGGAACTGTGCAAATCCTTGGGATTCATGCCACTATCCATCATCTTTTCAAAAAGAGAGCGTAGCTTGGCCACTGCTTCAGTGACCGATAGGACTTCTTTCATATTTCTATCTGTCAGATTCACTTTTTCAATATCCCATACAATCTGAAAAAAAAAACGAAAAGTTCGAAGAAATATCGTAAGCACAACCGAGAATATTGCAAGAATTTACTCGCTTTATTAAGGAATTTCCTGTACTTCACTCGACTATTTTGTAGTAAGAGCTGCCTTGCCTGGTTACACACTTCGTCGGTGTGGAACATATTGCCGATTTCCCGGAGATTATTTGCAATAGGTGTAACCTTAATCCAGGAATCTCACATTTTATTCAAGAGATCAACTTTTGCAAAGAATAACAAAAATATCACCAGGTGCATTCCACGTTTTTCGACTTCTTTCAGCAGAGCCAACATCAGTTTGTTCTTCCCTTTCAGCTGAGTATGCGAATATATCATTGCTACCACACGATCTTTCTCATCGCCGAACTGAAAAGCAGCACTTCCATCAAACTGGGCTAATCCACTGTCATTTTCTTCCTTGAATGTTGAGCGGTAGACCATACTGAATACTGTAAGTATGGCTCTAACCTATTATGGAAGGGAATGCTCCGCAAATGTTTATGATGAGGAAGGTTCGCCAATTTACCATGGCACTTCGAATGTATAAATAGGTAGATTAGCAGAGTCTGTAATGCTGTACGCAAATATAGCTATCAAAACTGCTACCTGCATTTCTTAAAGATACATGGTACGCTCAAACACATTGAGGGTGTATGAGATTATCAGCTCCCCACCTGTCGATGTGTCGTGGTCCCCCCGCCCAAAACTGCACGGGGTCAGAGTACGGGGCCGTGGGAAAGTCGTAATTCCTTGCTACGCCCCCAGTTTCGCAAACTCACGTTCTTACTAACACCGTCCGCGCGAAGCGGTCGTGTGCAGCTCTCTTGGCTTTTTGCCAAGTCCTGTAAATGCGCTTTGGAATACAATACAACGCCATTTCTTTATGCGGATAACATTTAGGGTGCTGCAAAATAAGGACCGAACATGGTTACCGAGGGCTAGAACTCAAGAGCAACTGTGGTGGCTTCTGCAATATCCTAACAGAGTGCCGCGCATTCCCACAGAACATGAAAATAAAAACGGCGGCTAAGCGTCGCCAACTCGTTAGTTTGATTTGCTTTAAAGAGCCGATTCGAGCCGGATCGCGAAATGCACGTGATTTAATCTTATTGCAAATTCTTTTCAAGCAATAGCTGCAAATATTAGGAATTGCGTTTGCTTTGTATTGTCATGTTTTATGTGTCATTGTTCTGTGGGAACGCGCGGCCTCTGAGGAATGTTGTGCGGAACAGCACCGTGCTCTTGAAGTTCTGGCCCCTCGTCACATCTTCGACCCTTATTTCGCAGCACGGCTAAAATGTTATCCGCAATTACAGGACTGGCAAAAAAGCCAAGAGAGCTGCAGCGACTCGCGCCGCGCGGACGGTACGTGAGTTTGCGCAATGGGCGGCGTAGCAAGGAATTACGACTTTTCCACGGCTCCGTACTCTGACCCTGTGCAGTTTTAGGCGGGGGGACCACGACACATCGACAGCTGGGGGGCTGATAGTCTCGTACACCCTCAATGTGTTTGAGCGTACCATGTGTCTTTAAACGACCGACTTAGTAGTTGAAATTCTTATTGGCGCAATACGGGTGTGCAGCAAGAGAATAGTATGATTTGTCGCTTGGACGTGGCGGGCGACGGAGCCCCCGCAGACGAGGAGTTCTCGGAATTCCGATGCCTTGATACAACCGAAACGTACCAATGACAGTCTTTAGAATAGAATAGATCGTGAGATGGCAAAGCGAATATACTCATCCTTATAAAGATTTTTCGAAAATAAACCTCTCCTCTTCCCTCTAGCTGCAACTGGTAACATCACGGCATCAGTGAGAGTGATTTTTTTTCCTTTCCTTGCTTTCTTTTTTCTGTAACTACGGAGTACAAATATCCAATCTGATCTGTGGATGTGAATGCACTCCGACATGGAGCGTTCTTGAACGGTTTTACTTCCGACTGGGACTAAAACGCGCAAGGACGATACTGGCGCACAATGACGATATGAGTTTCCGACCAACTTTCTGTAACTCTTCTGAGCCAGCAACTAAGAATCAGTATGGAAAAATTACCTTGTCGAAGTGAAAATTAGAAGTTCTGGCGCGAGAATCATCAGAGAAACATGGGAAGTGAGTTGAAAATTGCAGAAAGGATGAACATCATCGAAAAGCGAGCTCAGCTGATTACCGTTGAAGAAATTCGTAGAAAGAGTAATTACGATTTTTTTGAACTAAACCCGTGAAAGAGATTGAGCGGAGAACTTAAAACTGGATTGCACTACTAGCCGCAGTGAGGAGAGAATGTTTGCAGCTCCCTTCGAAGACGTTACAAACAGTGAATAGACGTGGTATTCAGCTGATTCTACTACCATCAGAAGCGAAATGATTAATTCAGCAGAGAAGGTGATGTTTACCAGCTCAGAACAGGGTCACCGTGAAGGCATCTAAGTCATGGCTTCGCAAACTATCCTTTATGATTTTCCGTTTGTCTCTCCTACGCGTAGAACGGGAACCAAGGATGTTTAAATAGTCCTATCCACTTTGCCATGGAGACTTTTACAGACAACTAGGCTAGAGCTAGCTTGAATTAAGTCCTACGCATACATTTAATGCTATTCTTCTTGTCGTTCACGTTTCGGAAATGCTAAACAGCGGAAAAAAAGCAGAAATTTGGGAATAAGTAAGAATTTCAATGCTCCAGTCGACAGTTCAACTGCTCATGCAGAAATCACCGCGCCCCTTCTGCACGGTGCGCTGCGCGCGACATGTGCGGCGTCTTACGATTCTATTGCTCGTCTCCCGTGTAATAAGTGGTGGTAATGCACAAGCGAAAAATCGTTATAAGCGAAGAATGGCGTGAGGGAAAATGAGTCGTGGCGGCTCAATAATAAGGTTCTCGCTTTGTGGGCACAGTGTGACGGTCCGGTTCCCGTGAATGTGAAAAACTGCTTATCTCTACTATCTCTAATATTGTTTGATAACTGCTGTTTACCGCCGCAGTACGCGATACGAAAGCTATCACAAGAATGCTGAGTTGTGGGCAAAAGTCGGACCACGGA